CACAGCGATACTTTGTAGCTCAATCACTTGGTTTGACTTGCATAAAGTAATGACAGCTAAACTTGAAATAATATTTTACTGGTTCTATATGAACAAACTGGCAACAAATATTAAAAAAACTTCTTTCATGACTTTTGGTAAATATGAGGACTCAGTACCCTTAGACTTTTAGTAACAGTTGATGGAACTGACATTAGTAGGAAAACTGAGATCGGTTATCTAGGACATAAGTTAGACAGTAAATTACGTTGGGATATTCATATAAGTAGCATTATAAAAAAAACAAAATACCTGTTGTACGTTTTTCATTGACTTAGATATTTACTAAACACTAGTCAATTATTAAATGTTTATTATGCTCTTTTCCACAACACAGCAACTTACGGCATCTTGGTCTGGGGACCTGCTTATAAAAATGTACTGGGTCCTCTACAGTCTTTACAAAAGCGATTACTTAAAATAATTTTTAAAAAAAATTTGGAAGAAGTAAAAATTGAAATTAGACCGTTAAAAATAGAACAAGACTACATATTTAAATGTGTAACCTATGAATATAGTCCATTACAGGAAAAATATTTGACCAGTAAAAGTGTAACTAGAAACAAAAGTATTTCATTACCGAATTGCAAATTGAATAGTGGTAAATGCCGATACAAACATGTAGCTACTACTACATTTAATGCTCTACCACATTCGCTTAAAACATTAAACGGTGTTAAATTAAAAAAAATAAAACATTACTAAAAAATTGGTGTAAAAATTTATAGACAAATAACATTCCAAATCAACATTCCTTTCTTTTTTTATATGAGCTTCATAATAATTTAAATTGATAACTATGCTTACTACCAAATTTCAGTCTAGTTTTTAAGCTATTTTAAGTTTCTTAATTACACCACGTCAGTGTACGGGCATGTGTAGTGCCTCCTTGCTGGCAACTTACTTCACTTTCTTATAATTTTAATCATGAATCTCGCTATAATTTTATATAAATGTATGATTTATTTTTATTTTTTTTCTGTATTATTTTGTGATGGTGAATAAATTAAAATTAAATTAATATTTTGCTCCTACATCTGTAGTGTTTTTAATGAAGTTGATCGCGTCTTCGATGTATAGATTAAAAAGAAATATACGTTATTAATTTATTAATGGAGGCTAAGTCCTAGAAATAAAACTTGAGTAAGTAATGTTAATGAATGTAGAAGTGAAAATTAAATTTCGAGGTATAAATGCGAAGTAAAAGATTGAAATTAAAGTCAACAACTCTTCAACTTTCGACAAGCTACATTTGATATAGAAAATTTTGTCAGAGTGTGTCTTTAATTAGAATTTTCCTTGTAGTACCGACTCCATTCGTTGATCAATGCATTAAACTGACGTTTTTCATAAGAAGTGGAGTTGAAAAAGGGAACTGGGACCGTAGTCTGGAACGTTTCTCTTTCCTGTTTGCAAATTTCGAAAGTTTGTTCGGTTATTATGCTACGTTTTCCCTTTTAATCTCTTTTCAACCGATGACAGTGGAAACTTTTTAAATTCCTGTTCACGAACTCGTCGCTGGAAACTAGAATTTCCATCATAAACCCTGTAATTGTGGCCGGGAAGAGGCAAGTGTCGAAAAAGTCAAAATGCTAGAGAGAATCCGGAGGAGTTTGATTTACATATCTAATTTACATGATTGCATTTGTGTGTTAAGCAGATGGCGTTGAGCTTGCTAGCAGAAACGAACAAGTGCCTACAAAACGATCTCCTGCTGCTTCTAGAGAGAAACGAACACGTACAAAAGTGCAAACTGTACTCGAGTACAGGGTAACTTTCTTCTAAGACACTTCTTGTTTTGATGGTACACTGTGGACTAGCCATATTTTATATGTATAATGTCTACTCTTCCTGTATTACTTGTAAGGACTCGAGACAGATTTAGTAAAGTAATTATATAGTTCGGACGATCAAAATAAGCAAAGTCCGCAAAATATTATCTGAGAGAATCTTCTTTCTTGTTTCCACTTTAGACTGTTGTCATTTGCTGCATTTTGAACACGCCCTTGTTAAGTTAGGAAATGCTTATGCAAAAGATCAGGGTCGGCCTTATAATTGTCTGGTTGGAATTATATCTTTAAACAAGTGTCTTTGCATTCCTAAATTTCATAGAATGTTGAACTTTCTTTGAATCCCGATGCTGGGAACATGCTCAAATTTTGTTTGACCGCATCTCTTTCTGTTGCACATAAATCGATCTAATGTTATCCCTTTTCCTTTATTAGTGTTCGCTGCAATTCCTATTTGACATCTCTTTTTTATGTTTACGATGATCCCTACAAAGTCTGCCGTGTGTAAATGTAGGCCTCCTGTCAACAATCGCTCTAATCTAGTTCGAAAGTTGAACTAAATGTGACAATTTTATTGTGGATTAAGTCAATTTTGAACGTTCCAACTGGTATTTCACAGGACCTCTTGTTGAAGGGCTGGCAAATTTTAACTTACATACGCTGGAAGCTGGCGGAAATTTTAAAATGGCGTGGATGCGCGGTGGCAAAAGTAGGCAGTTTTAGGTATAAAGATTGCAGCCCTTATTCTTCAGTATTCATATCAGGGCCGTAGATTATATATTTAAAAATAGGGATCAGTGAGCAAGTAATAGACAGACAAACAGAAGAACTAATTGTTGATGTTGGTGACAGTGATAGAGATTCCCATGATGAGAGTGAATGTGAAAACTAACTATAAAACAANTG